GTGTACCAGGTAACTTCACTTGCTACACAATACATGGAGCCACAGGTAAATTTGTAGGTAAATTCCCTTCTGGCTACTGTACCACTTATCGAGAACCTCCCACTGCCCTATTAGTAAATCAAGTTAAGTCCGTGGGAGACATTTATTGGCTATGTGGTGACATGCAGCTCAGATTAAAAATGACTGGCCTGTGGTGGGGAGAATGTACTCTGACCAAAGCTATCATGCCCATACATATAATTTTTGATAACCACCAAGGCCCACACGATTCACCACACACGTATCTTAGAGTAAAAAACCCCCATTCAAGGTAGTTTCGACCCACACATATATATCGATGCCATCAGAGTACCAAGGGGGGTACCAAATGAGTTCAAGGCCAGAAATGAGGTGGCGGCAGGATTCGAATCCTTGATCCCACTCATCATCGCTAACAAGAATGTTAACTATATCAATTATATCTACTATAACCAGCAACGATTTGTCAATTATACTAGAGATGCCCTTCAGGGCTTGGCAGAACAGTTACAGACTACCTTCAAAATGACATTTCAGAATCGAATGGCCTTAGACATGATCCTAGCAGAAAAGGGGGTGTGTGTAAAATACTCCCCGATATTATGGCATGCTGTACCTTCATCCCAGACAATACAGGCCCCAACGGTAAGGTAACCATGGCCATAGAGAAATTAGAAAGTATTTCTGACGAATTAAAGAGGAATTCGGGAGTCCCCAATTCATGGGACAGACTGTTTGGGTGGATGAGTGGATGGCAGAAAACTCTCCTTCAAGTAGGTATGGCAGTTCATAGTGTGGTAATTCTCTTTCTCTTCCTGATTTGCTGTGTGATGCCCTGTGTGCAGAAATATTTACAGAAGACTGTAGGTCAGACTATTGACCGCACCACACCTACATTCCTACATCAGGATATCGACGATATGGACTGTGACATCGCACACACACCTCTTCAGTCCGACAACTACTTCCCTATAGGGATAGTATAGGGACAGCGTCTGTCTCTACGGGCAGGAGTCTGACGCGGAAGATGTAGTGAGTTAGCCACTACGGGATACCCACGCAGTGAAGCGTTCGAGGCCTGTTCAGGCAGATGAGCTGCAGCCAATTAGGGACATCATTAGGGTTAGTTAGTGGTTGTCTCTCTCTTTCGTAAATAGTCATTTTAAGGGGAGGACTGTTGTGGACAAAGATATTAACCCAATCCATGTTAGTAAAATGCCTATTTACTCAGTATAACTCCAATCAGCATTATTCAACTTTATATGTGATTTACCTAAAATGGCAGCTAGGGAGTTTCCCTTTGACATCGACTAACACCCTCGTTAACAAGATGGCGCTGGAATCTGGGGGAGACCTCCAAGATACCAGTGACATCACACCCAGTAGGAAGTGCACTAAATTAACCACTTAACACCTATCCAATTATTGATGTATTATTTCATGTTATCTCTGACAATGCATATGATGTAATTGTGCTTTATAAGGGGCATGCCGTCCCCTCAGAATAAAGATTCCTCAAGTTTTTCATTGACCCGAAACCTGTGTCTGGTGTGAATTACTTTAGGAGCGTGCATGCACTATTGTTTTAATTTGGCCGGGGGAAAATACACAAGATAATCAATTTATTAATTGATTCCACATCATATTATTATATATAAAATATTTTACCAGGAAAGATACATTGAGATTTCTCTCGTTTTCAAGTATGTCCTGGGTCCACAAATCATTGCATTGATACAATAGGGTACAATAAAATACAAAAACAATATTAATACACAATATATACAAAATCTAACATAGAACAGGTAGGAAATATATAATCAACCATGACACGTGTATTCTGTTTTGAGGTATGTAGAGAGGGATCTCTTAAAGGACTTTAGGCTTGGGGAAGATTTGAAAGTGTGTGGGAGGTCGTTCCACAATTGCTGTGCTCTGTAGGAGAAGGAGGATCGGGCTGCTTTCTTTTTGTATTGAGGTAGACTAAATAAAGTGCTGGTACTGGATCAGAGGTGGGAACAGCCGAGGAGAGCATTTTGCTCAGGTGTGGGGGGAGCTTTCCAGAAAAGCTCTTAAATACAAGGCTGGAAAGATGAAGGGTGTGTCTGGATTCCAGCAACAGCCAGTTTAGTTCTTTAGCATGTCACAATGGTGGGTAAGGTAATTACATTGTAGCGCAAATATAGCACACAATTGTGCATATGTTAAATCATATGTTATTTATGTTTAAATTAGATTTTTTTTATAAATGATCACAAGAATGACACACATTTCCGTTCCGTGCCATTTAAGGTAACAATATGTATGGTTTTGTTACATATTTTCTCTTTTGTTTATTCAAATTATTTTACAGTCTCACATAATATCTTTTAGTTGTTAGTATAAATTCTGTACATTACAAAGTATCATGCTGCTATAATTTTCACACACAATATTTTTAAGGCTGTCATTACTTTTAGTGTTTTTCTGCAAATTACAGATAAGATAGATTGTCAATGGTACTAATAATAAAAACAAGTCCTTTTATTTGCATGGTGTATAGCTCATTAACTGACATAATTAACAGAGCACTTATTAATGAAGTAATAGGTCTGTAAGAAGGAATCATAACAAATTATTAATTAAATTGGAGGTTTGTAAGTCAGAATTAAATACTTTCCCAGACTTTCCTACTTGTATGCTAAAATCCTCTACAACCAAAAAATTACTTAGACCTCTCAGCCAATCCTGGCACTCCCATTGTTATTAATTAGTGCATTGTATGTATTCCTAATATCTCTACAGAGCAAGAATTAACAGGATATACCAGCACTCCCTCACATTACCAAATTACATCAGCCATTAAAGGAGAAATGTCAACTTTCTGGAATTTACACCATTGCACAAAACATTGAAAATCACTTGTAACTTGTGATAAAGGGTTTGAAGTGGTTTTAGAAGTGCTCATAGCGGTAGGAGTCAATATGTGCAGCGTTTCTAAATGAAATAGTGCACACAGTGAGATATTTGTACTTTGGTGCTGGGGGCTAGTTACGTTCCGGACTGCCAAATGTCAATTCTGTGCAAAATGTATAAAATATGAACCTTCATAACACACACACCCACAAATGACAGTTTAAAACACCACTATGGTGAAAAAAATAAAAGGAATTATCCTTATATCAATACCACTTGTAGAACAAACAGAAATAAAAAGACACAATATCTACAAGTGTAGAAAATAATCCATACATAGAGTAGTACAGTATAAATGATAAGTACAGGGGATGGTTAATGATTGCACTCACTAGATAGTGAATAATATCAGGTACTTCAGGGGGACTTGATCTTCTTGACGATTTCCTCAATGTAGCGTAGAATGTGTGGCAATATATCAAAAGTAAATGTACAATTTATTCATAAAAACGTACAATTAGGACAAATCATGCAAGCCCATCAATGGGAACCGGAACACCATGTCAATAGATGTAAAGTGCTGAGGTGCAGGAGGCTCCTACTACTAAAAGTGCTTGTACAGGTAGTCCTTTAAAAATGCATTAAAAGTCCACAATGGAAAAATAATAATAAATAAACTTAGCAGCTGAACAGGTCAAATGAGTGGGGCGCTATAAATATACACTTACCCTAAAATAGGGTTGTGGCGAAAACCGACCTCGCCACTGGGCATTGGAGAAGCCTGTTTGCCCGCCTCCTGCCATGTGACTATGGCCCTTGGGAGATTTGGCACTTTAAATACAGTATTTGGGCATATTGTATTTTATTATGCTGCTGGCCCTTTAAGAACCATCTGGGGACATACTGTGACTTTTGGGAACAATGCCCCTTTAAGGAAGATATTGCCTGTTAAAGACTATTTTAGCAGATTGGATTTTAAAAGACTTGCTGCCCCTTTAAATTGTATTGGAGCAGTTCTGCAGCTTTAAATTGGCACTTCGGATGCAGCCGAAATGCCAAAGTAGTCGAAGTGGCCGCCATTCGACAAACGAACACGTGGCGGCAGCCATCTTTGTTCAGTCGAATGAGGTCATCGGTATGTGTAGCCAAATCCATGGAACTGAAATCGGCTACACATTTCAAAGAACACCGCTGACCCTTACCTTCTCCTACACTCAGTTTTCAGCTGCAGAGACTAAGTCCCGTTCGGCAGTTTGAACTCACTGCTTTACTAAGCTAAATGCACGAACGGCCCCGTTCGTGCATTCGAATGGGACTTAGTCATTTTTCTGTGTAAAATAAAAGTCATAAAGGACTCCCAGCTAACTTTTTATCTACTGGATGGATTTGTCTGATTTTTTAGAGTGTTTATGTTTATGCTCTGGATGATAGGCTTGGGTGCCTCTGGAGGGGGGCACCTGCCCTTCTTTAGCAGCAAAGAGAAGTAGAAAGCCAATAGGACTTAGTATTAGAAATCTAATTTATTGTAACTTTAAATCTGAAATCCAAAAAATATATAAAATAGATAAAATCAAATGTCCCAATATTTAGCTTTAAGTTCGAATCCGAGACGCGTTTCACCCACGTTCTTTAGGCTTTTTCAATCGGTATTGCTGATTATCCTTCTGCTGCTGTTTAAATTTGCCGGTTCTTCCATCTTGGGACATTTGATTTTATCTGTTTTATATATTTTTGGGATTTTATATTTAAAGTTACAATAAATTTGATTTTTAATACTAAGTCCTATTGGCTTTCTACTTCTCTCTGCTGCTAAAGAAGGGCAGGTGCCCCTCTCCAGAGGCACCCAAGCCTATCATCCAGAGCCAGGTTCAGGCTAAAATATCTTCTTCTTTTCCCTTCCAAATTATTAAAATATCATCGACCTACCTATGCCAGAGCACCAAGTTCGAAGGGGTTGTTGTCCCAAATATGCGTCCTTTCCCAGTTATCTAAAAAAATATTTGCATAACTGGGTGCGAACATGGTGCCCATGGCTGTACCCATTATCTGTAGGAAAAAAATCTCCATTAAAACCAAAGAAAAATTACGAGTTAAAATGAAGCCAATGCACTCCACTAAAGCTTGATCTGATTGTGTGTTTCTCTCTAGACTTTTCTTAATTGCCTCCGTTCCTAATTCATGAGCAATGACAATATACAAGGAAGTGACATCGAAAGAGGTCCAGATGTAATCATCCTTCCATTCAATCGAGTCAAGTTCTTGTAGTAGATGCTTTGTGTCTTTCAAGTATGACTGTGCGGATTCGGCATGTTTCTGTAAAAAGTCTATGAATTCAGATAATTTAGAAGTCAGGGAATCTATTTCGCTTGCTATGGACTTTTCCGGTGGGTTCTTTTTAGATTTATGGACCTTTGGTAAAAAGTAAAAGGTTGGGACTCTTGGGGAGTCAATGAATAAAAAAAGAAGTCAAATGTTCATTAATTAAATTATTATTTTTAGCATTATTAAGAAGGGTTTTTAGTTCTTTATAAAAAATTTCATTGGGGTTAGAAAAAAGTTTTTTACAAGTTGATGTATCCCCTAATAGTCTGTAGGCTTCATTAGATAAAAGATGCTGTCCCTTTAAAAAGTGCCATTTTATTACCAGATTATTTTTAAAAAATGCCACCTTATTACCAGAATATTAAAACGGTGTCACTTGATTACCAGAATATTAAAAAGGTGCAGATTTATTACCAGACTATTAAAAAGTGCCACTTTATTACCAGAATATTAAAAGTGACACTTTATTAACCTGCCGCCCCCACAAACAGACACTTTTTACCTGTAAAAATAAAGAAAAGGGGTTTTACTTATTTATTTTTTTACTCACACTACAGCCCCTATACAAACACACACTACAGACTTTGAACACACATACTACTGCCCCTATACACACACACACACACACTACAGACTTTGAACACACATACTACCACCCCTATACACACTACAGACTTTGAACACACATACTACCACCCCTACACATACTACAGACTTTGAACACACATACTACTGCCCCTATACATACTACAGACTTTGAGCACACATACTACCGCCCCTATACATACTACAGACTTTGAACACACATACTACCGCCCCTATACATTCTACAGACTTTGAACACACATACTACCGCCCCTATACATTCTACAGACTTTGAACACACATACTACCGCCCCTATACATACTACAGACTTTGAACACATATACTACCACCCCTATACATACTACAGACTTTGAACACACATACTACCACCCCTATACATACTACAGACTTTGAACACACATACTACCACCCCTATACACACTACATGCTTTGTACACCCATAGATACTACCGCCCCTATACACACTACAGACTTTGAACACACAAACTACCGTCAGCAAATTTGCAAATATCAATTAACAAAATAATTATTCACACACACACACACTTTCAGCCCCTAGACATTCTCACTTTAGCCCTTGCCTGCATACTAAAGCCCCTAGCCACACACACACTCTTCACACCCTTTCAGCCCGTAGACATTCTCACTTTAGCCCTTGCCTGCATACTAAACCCCCTAGCCACACATGCTACACCAGGAACATACACCATGCCACAAAGCAGCAACAATACACATACAACACCACACCAGCCTCCAAACACATGCACAACCCCATTTCTCTCCTATTTTTTCCTCCGGTATCCCATTTATGGAGACACTAGAGACAAATTACCCATTAAATTTGCTTGCCCACATGCAACGGCTCTTCAGCTCTGCTCATGGCCTACCCTGGAGGGTCCTCAAACTGACAGGGCTACTTTGGTGGGGCAAAATACACCTCCTTACTGGCCCGGCTCCTCCTATTGGGCAAATACCTTGGCTAAACGGGGTTACGGGGTTATGTGTAAGTAATGTGACTAAATATCTGCTTTATAACAAACTGTTAATGCTACAAATGCAAACAGTGAATACCATAATGAATGGTAGCAGTGTTGTAGCCATGCATGCTGAGTTGTTGTCTGTGATAAATTGCAATAACAGCATTATTTGTCATAGCAAAGCATATCATATTTATGTTGATCTCATACATGTGTTAATGAAATTAATGTATTGATTTTCATTCAACGTTCATTAATTTAATTTTTTTCTAGTTACTGAGACCTCATCAAGGTCTTCCATCTCCAGCAGTACTCCGGAGCCTCGAGGGGGGCCATCTCAAGGCTTTGAGGTTACCTCAATCTGGCTGTCACTAGTACTGCCTGCATCCCCCCTTGCTCGAGCAAACACTATATCGCGATGGGGCCATCATTTTCTGAAGCTGGAGTTATCATGGAGCCCCACTAGAAAGAAATCTCCTACTTCTCAATAGTCAAAAGATTGGATCCTTCTCCATTTTCAGATTGCCACCTTCATTAGCAGCCTGTCAGCCTACAGCCTCTGCTCCACCACCTACATCTAGTGTACATGTTCCACCATTTTCACCTGCAGTCTCTGCTCCATCACCTCTGTATGACTTGTGACTTGTGTTGCCAGAAACACAGGAGGTCTAACACAGGGCTGGTAGGCAAAGACCCTTGTTGACTCCTCTACAGAAAGCCTTATCAGAGACCTGGGGAGGAGAGGGGTGCTCTCAGGAGCCCAGAAGTACACTCACCAGTTTTACCTGCAGACAACAGCATCAAGCAGTCTTGCTATCTTAGATGCTCGGTGGCATTTTATCTTGAGTCTATTAAAAATCTCTGTGTTTATCAGTCAATTAAATTCAACTGGAAACAGCAGACTATTTTTTCTCTTTCTTTATTTTCTCCCCACCACCCCCAACTTGCATGCCCTGATTTTAACTATTCCGGTGTCAATTGTTTCCGTCCCTCTTTGACGTGCGGCAGCCTACTGTAGGAGCTCTATAGATCCAGTGACGAAACTGCCACATTGTCAAGTTCTCTACCTGATCGTTGTAAAACCTCATTATAATGTTTACCTCTTACATCCCACACCTCTCAACCTCCCCCCCCAACCCCCCTCTCTGCTCTTTAGCTTCAACAAGGATAATAAATAGACAATGCTTCTTCATGTGCGTATCTAAATGCAATTTGCCAAAATAAATAAATAAAATCAACTGTCATTAACTTCTGTTTCACTCAGAGAAAGAGGAGGTCAACTAAGAAAAGGCGTCAATTAGCGATGAAGCCGGAACGACCTAATGTTGTCGGATTTCACATTTTTATATGCCTTAATGCAATTCATTATAAACCAAACTGACTTCAATAAGCTGCAGATATTAGCTTATCTAATACAGTTTTACTTCCTTCTTGCTCCCTGACCCTTAAAGTGACTGGGCTGTCACCAGCCAGGCCCGCCGCCATTGGGACTGCGTATAATTGAACGCTGCATGAGCCGGGATGCGTATTTCTTTCCCTCTCAGGTCTACGGTTGGCTTTTCTTTCCCTTGGTTGTTGATTATTAGTATTTTCCTGGTTTTCCAAACTAATAAGTGCCACTATCAAGCAGTTGGAAGCTCTCAGAGGCTGCAGATTTGCTTCTTGCCGGCTTAATTGATATTGAACGAGCTTCTGGTAGACGGGAACAGGGCCACTGCTGGCTAATTTGCAGTTTAATCAGCGTTTGTAATGAGAGCTGCTGATTAGGGCTGTTGGAAATAAAAGAGAGTTACAAGGAACGTCTGTCAGAGTCCGGTGATAATTCTGGACTAATTGTGGTGATTAGAGCAAACTGGATGACTTTGGGCTTTGCTAATGCAAAGAGAAACGTGCACAATTCAGCCAGGGACCCCTTGGGTATATGATCCTCCAGCACTCACACAAAAAGAAACCAACGATCTTTACATAAACTGCAAAGGAGGGATGGGAAACAGAAACGTGTCCTTGCCCTGGACCTCTGGAGTCTCCTTCATCCAGAATGTCAGGTTTCCAGAAAGCCTTGAGAGCAGAGGCCGTTAACACAAAGCCTGGATACACTAATCTCTCCTAGATCATATTAATTAATAGCAACACATTATTATATGACTGCGGTATCTGTACTATTTTAATTTACATTCTACTATTTTAATTTATGGCTGTTTTCATTTGGAGATATTACAACTGACAACCCCAGAGTTGACTAACCGGGATTTTCACTGAAGGGGGCATTCAGAGGGAATTTTAAATTTAAGGTAAAAATACCCAAAATTGAATAATTCTCCAGTTCAGCCGTTCTTCCAGTGCGGATACTGTGGCCTTAAATTTGAAATTCACTTTGAATTCTCACTTTAGTGACTAGCCATGTAAAATTAAACTCTGGGGGCTGTGCTTAGCAATCAGTAACAGAGCATTTAATAGCACGGTCCATGTATACCCCACTTGCACACCATGTTTAATAATGTTAATCCCAGCACTCCTGTCCCCGTCCTTTCTATTCTAATGTCACTGCATATTGGGGTGTCTGAGTGTAAAACATGTCACTTCGTATTGGGTTCTCTGAGTGTAAAACACGTCACTGCATGTTGGGTTGTCTGAGTGTAAAACATGTCACTGCGTCTTGGAGTGTCAGTGTAAAACACGTCACTGCGTATTGGGGTGTCTGAGTGTAAAACATGTCACTGCGTGTTGGGGTGTCTGAGTGTAAAACATGTCACTTCGTATTGGGGTGTCTGAGTGTAAAACACGTCACTGTGTATTGGGGTGTCTGAGTGTAAAACATGTCACTGCATATTGGGGTGTCTGAGTGTAAAACACGTCACTGTGTATTGGGGTGTCAGAGTAAATCACACAGTAATGTGTCTTTAAACTACAATACATTTGCTTAGACGTCACTCTGTGTAAATATTATACTTTTATATTATGTTAATTTTCATTTTCAGGAACAGTTATCTGTAGGTAATGAAATCACCTAAAATGCCCCTGACCACCCCCCCAGCCAAGCTGCAGTAAAAATAAAAACATCCCTCCTTTATTTTGGTTAAAACTTTCCATTACCCAAAATAGAGTAAATCTATGGGGAAAAAATAAAAAGAGTTCAAAAAGATCAGTCCAACAGACTATAAAGAAAAGTCAATTAACGAAAACATTAAAAGTCCACTTAAAGGATCATTAAAGTGTCAGGAAAACAAACCGGAAGACAGCCACTAGAGGCTGGATTAACCCCAAATGTAAACATAGCACTTTCTCTGAAACTGAAGGGTTAAAACCTGAGGGACCTGGCACCCAGACCACTTAATTGAGCTGAAGTGGTGTGGGTGACTATAGTGTCCCTTTACGGCAGACAATACTTTCATTTTCATCTTGAGTCAACTTGACCAAACAGTGACAGCACAATTCAAGCTGATTGGTTTGTCAGTATTTTGTCACAGATCCCCCGGTCTATCTCCAAATTGTGTGACGTCAGC